GAATATTAGATTAATAATATTAGATTACTTAGAATATTAGATTAATAATATTAGATTATTTAGAATATTAGATTAATAATATTAGATTATTTAGAATATTAGATTAATAATATTAGATTATTTAGGATATTAGATTAATAATATTAGATTATTTAGAAAATTAGATTATTTAGAATATTAGATTAATAATATTAGATAACTTTAATAATATTAGATTAATATTAGATGAATTGCATTTGTGTGTGTACGTTTCTACTGTTGCATTGCAAGTTTTATGATTTTCACGGTGAATTAAGTATCGAGATAGCGTTGAATGTTTCAATTTTACTTTTTTTTAACATTAGCTTCTTTAATCATTAGATTTTTAATTTTTTTAATTATCAGATTTGTTCTCGATATTAGCTTTAGTATCAGGTGAAATGCATCGTGTTCGTTTCTACTGTTTGCATTGAAGTTTTATAATTTTTCACAGTGTAACGTTGTTGAAAAATGTTAAAAAAGAAAATTGAAGGAGTTTACGGAATGTTTCTCCACCGGGATTATTTTTGACGAAAAGTCGAAACGTACGATGTGTCGAGTCAGATTCAGATTCTACGTAGAAACGAAGAGAATTTTTCATCGGAAAAAAGAGTCATAACCTGCTTGCAGTTTCGCAAGATTTAATTGGTTCGTTTCGTAACTTTTAATTAATTTTCATAAATTTTAATTATATTTACTCAGCTTACAAATAAGAGGATTATAATTGGAACGGTTACTAATGATGAATTACCTAATTATCTGATTTTCAAATGCGTACTGCATCGTAGTATTGCAATAGAAAGTAGCAATAAGGAATAAAAAATTAATTAGCAATAGGAACACTTTGTACTGCTTTAACCACGCAATAAATAATGCTTGTAAACAAACTGTCTCGGAAGAATCGACAACTAAATCGTTCACAAACATGAACAAACATTAAAGTCGATTTTCTCGAAAACCGAGTCCCAGATAAAAAATTGTTATACCTATTTTTTTTCTTATTTTGTGACGTAGATTTATCACTCTATGCTCGGTTGTACTACGAATTCTGGCCCACCCTACATATGCACTTCTGATATCGTCACAGTAGAGAGAGAGAAAAAAGAAAAAAGAACGAAGTTCGCCTAACTTTAATGGTAATAGATCGGTTTTGGGTGGCCATGGCTATTAACCGATATGCCGCAAGTAGCTAAATGAAAATTATGGGATAACCCAATAGCGATAATAGGATGCTTGGGACCACTCCGGGCCATTTCACCCGCATCCGGCCATGAACCTTAATCTCTCGTACATGAAAATCGTCTATACTCACCGCCAACTTTACACGCGCCCTTTTCTGTCAAATATTTCACCACCGATTAGTATGTCGTCCTCCTTTGCCCCTCGTCTTTTAATATAAAATCCGTTCAGCTTTTTTTCATATTCCAAGCTGTTGCTCGAAATAATTATTAAACGCGCGACGTGTGTTCTTTACTTGACTTTTCGACTAGACACGTGTGTTTTTGGTTGCTTTTCGAACAATAATCAATTTTTAGAATTTTGGCGATATTAATCCTTGGATCAATAATAAATCGTTCTTTTTTTCAACTCGTATTGTGACCGACTGGGTTTGGGTTAGGTTTTTCTTCAACCACTTGCGCTGGCAACCGATTGCGGACCATAACGAGTGACCGAAACGTGTACAACAATTCGTCGCTTTCTTTTTAAACTCGTCGGTATGACATCACTGGGAATAGAAATTACAGCGAAGTAATAAATTTATTATATTATATTACAAATTTAATATATAATTTTAATATATAAAATAATAATAAAGTACAGTAATAAATTTAATAAAATAATAAGAAATAAATAATAATTTAAAAAAGAAAATAATAATTTTAATAAAATAAAATAATAAAGTATAGTAACAAATTTAATATATAATTTGTTTTGTCTGGGTTAAAATATACTTAAATATACTTAAATAATTCCAGCGCCAGAGGTTAAATCAGAATTTTTTTTTCTTTGTGGTTTTTCAATCTTCGTTTCTTAGATAAATATCAATCAATACTTAACACTAGAACTACCGACGACGACTGAAGCATAAAACTTCCATCAGAGATGTTAACGTAAAAGAAACAGGAAATCTTCATGATACAATAGGGTGGACGAACTTTCGTTTACTCAAGCCTCCGAAAATACACCGTTTTATATCTAACGAGAACATTCAGATGGCCATTTTGACCATGTTGGTAGATTAATAATTATCACTCAACATTTACAACGTTTATCACGCGTTCAGCTCGCATAACGAGGAAAGTTATGAAAACCTAGTAGAGATACAGAAATCTGAAAAATTTGAAAGCGCGTTCAATGATACAACGGAGAAATATTTTTGTTTAATTCATAAACTGAAATCAAAGATATTTACTCTGCCCCCCCCCCTTCCCCCCTTCCCGCCCCATTCGCAAATAAATTCCAACAACATCGTCCCCATATATATATATATATATATATTTCGTCTCTATTATCGTCTCTTTTCAAAGCAAATGTTTCTCGAAATTATATTTATCTTGAAAACACGGGAGAGAGACACGGAGTCAACTTATTGCACTGGCAGTTCATGCAAAATACACGTAGTTTCTATAATAACGCGGAACATAGCTATTTGCAGTGTACCAACGTACGACAGATCTCCGCTGTATTTCATTTTTCTTATGAATATCGCAGACTTTATGCATCGCGGACAAATGGAACGAATATTCGTAGAACAAATGTGAAAGGTTCTCGGCTTCCACGAAAGCGTGGGCATTAATTTTCAAGCGTTAGACCATGGATCGTTAATTGGCTCGCGTCCCCCCCCCCCCCCCCCCCGAGGAAATTTTCGCGATTTTCTCACAGGCAAAATTAAACGAATACCGTTTGAGCGCTGTTTCACATCTGATTATGTTATCGATGTTTCAGATAAGCTGAGCGTTTAATAATCCTGTTCAATTGTTTCCTCGGTTCTCGCGTAATCGCGATATTAATTTCTAATCACTTCGAATTATTATATATTCGTAATATATTACGAATCGGTAAAATTATTTTCGTTAGGATCAGCTGAGATTTTAATTTAACTTTAGAATTATCGAGAGATCCGTCGATTTCTTTTTAGTCCTGAAAACCCGCCAATTATTTATTTCTATTAACATTTTATTAATTGATTATTTCTTTATTGATCAATAAATTTTAGTTTTAAATATTTCAAATATTAAATGATTAATAAACTTTAATTTTAAATATTTTAAATATTAAATAATTAACAAACTTCAATTTTAAATATTTTAAATATTAAATGATTAACAAACTTCAATTTTAAATATTTTAAATATTAAGTGATTAACAAACTTCAATTTTAAATATTTTAAATATTAAATAATTTTAAATATTTTAAATATTAAATAATTAACAAACTTCAATTTTAAATATTTTAAATATTAAATAATTTTAAATATTTTAAATATTAAATAATTAACAAACTTCAATTTTAAATATTTTAAATATTAAATAATTTTAAATATTTTAAATATTAAATAATTAACAAACTTCAATTTTAAATATTTTAAATATTAAATAATTTTAAATATTTTAAATATTAAATAATTAACAAACTTCAATTTTAAATATTTTAAATATTAAATGATTAATAACCTTTAATTTTAAATATTTTAAATATTAATTATTTCTTTATTAATTAATAAATTTTATTAAATTATTTATTTCTAAATATCTTATTATTCCTATTAAATATTTTAATTTATAAAAATAATTCTTCCTAATATTTTCAAAATACCCAAGTATCATCACTCGTTTTTAACCATGTTACGTTTCTTTAGCCATTTCTGATCTATCTGTATTTTTCTTACAGTTGGTTAAAAGATATCCCACGTTCGTATAAAATCCGAACAAGTTCTTATTAGCATGCATGAATTATGTTATGTAAAATAAGAGTGAAAGTAAAACTAACAAATATTAACAAGTCCACGAAATACTTCGTTATCCACGTAAAAAGTCACTATTTTTCAAGGATTAACCATCAAGTATTATAGCTCGGTTCTAGATCATAACAATTTATGTCAGTTCGATTATAAAATTCAAACAATTCATTTTTGTGCATTACATTGATTCATTAAATGAAAATTAGATTAACAATGAAAATTTGTTAGTAATCGGTAAAATAAATTTTTTAGAGTTAATCCTCGAATCGATTAGAACATCGGCCAGTGTTCGACAATTGAAAACAACGTTTGACCAGCGGCCTATGATACGTAATCCATTATTAACGAGTTAATAGTCCACCGATTGGATTAGCTGATTAACAAATTAGCGAGTTCATGGGTATTTACGTTGTTTGCTCACTTTATATACTATTAATACTCGGATCGGATCTCTGGGCTTGAATACCATCGATCGATAAAACCGCGTTTACGTTACATAACTTTTAACCAGTCGGCTTTTACTCGTTTTGAAATCGTTTGTGTGTATGCAATATGAGAATTTCTGATCGTGACGAATGATGCTTATGGTATAATGACAATTGATTAACGTAAACTCGTAATTGGTGTAAATTATTGTTGATCAAAAATATTCTACAGTTAAGAGACATATTACGCGTACAGCTAATAGAATATAATCTATAATTGAACGAGGATCTCTCCCTCTTGTGCAAATTAATTTTATATATATATAATATATCACTAAAAGGTTGAAATAAACCTTTAAATAATAATTTATTAGTACCTTTTCGATTGTATAACTTAAAATTTTTCATTCAAATAAAGTTAAAAATGCAACTCTTAATATTACTATTAATATTAATATAACATTTAAAATTAAGATTATTATTTGTTATCATTTGTATAATTTTATTTAAATTCTAAATTTAATATGTTAAAATAATTATATTATAAAATTATATAATTAATATTAGTTAATAAATATATAAACACTAATATGTTAAAATAATTATAAATATTTATTAATAAATATATAAATAATTTATGAATTATAGTCCTTTCGTACAAATTATTTAAATATTTTTGTAGATAGAAACCAATCTGACTTACGTCGATTTGACTTTTACTCAAATCATGTAAGATTTTAAAAGTTGAACATTTCAATCGAAATTGAGTTAATACTATAGTATGGTTCTACAGTTTCTGGGGATTGTTTCTACACGGGCTGCAAACATTCTGTCAAAGGCCAAACGCAAAATGGAAGAAAAGGAGTGATGGAAAATTAAAATACGATTTTAAACATCAACCTTTATTCGAAATCACCATTCAGCTGCAACAGCCGGTATAAAAAATTATTTATTTCGCGAAGCAATCAAATTTGTTTCGTTGTTTATGCGGCAAAAGTAAATAATCTGCGAAACTTAGATAACAGCAATAATAATTATTATTATTTATTACGTCAAATCTTTAGTTGCCAGCTAATCGATTATCTTTCCTTGTCATACAAAACACAACAAAAAGCAAAAATAAAATAGGCATGGATATTATTTGAAGAAAATATTTGATTATTCAAATATAACATCTATTATATTTTTATCATCTTGAAGTAATCCTGCGTCAGTTTCTCTGAACAAGCAAATCACTTAATCGTTTCGGCTCTCGAATCAAATAATCTTTTCATTCCGTTTTATATTTTCGTTTCTACAGATAATTTCTTGAATTCTATTAAATTTAAACCTCGTCTTCCACTAGAGTTATTTTACCTCGGCGAATTAGACTCAAATAAAAGGATCAAAAACAAACAATAAATAATGAAACAAATAGTGAAACGATGATAAATAACAAATGAAATAATAAAAGAATCATTTGCAAACTGATTCAGTTTCAACCGACTCGGACGTGGTCACTTTTCAGATGAAAGTAAATCGATTGTTCGGTTATTTTCAAATAAAATTCGAACTCGAGCCAGGCCATATCGAGCGGTCCAAGTTTCTTCCATCGAATGACGCAACGAAAATGTGTGGCTGTCGATAGAAAGGTGTTGGCTACACACCACTGTTTATGCGCGTGCAGCGGAACACAGAGGCTAACGAAAGAAACTTCGAGAAACTGAAAAGGAAACGAGCGAGTTGGCGCGAGAGTTTGCATACACACAGGTTGAAAGGAAACTCTCTGGTGTTTTTCGACCACGTGTGTACATATCGTGTGTCTTTCCTCGCGACAGGTAGTCCCGCGTGGTATGCAGGACAGTAGGTCGACAATTCTTCGATCATTTCCTTTTCTCTCTCTCTCTCTCTCTCTCTCTCTCGTTTCCTCGCTTCTTGTCTCTTCGAGAAAAGTTTCTTACTTCCGTCTGTAATTTCCCCCTCCTCCTTCTACCCTCTTTCTTTTCTCCTTTTTTCTCTCGCTTCTCTTCCTTAAACTGTACATATGTACGTAATACACATAATATAGGGTGGCCACTGAAAAACTGTTCATTTTATTAAGAACCTTTTTTATTTTCTACTCTTGTAGGTTTAGGTTAGATTAGGTTTAGGTTAGTACAGATTTAGGTTAGGTTAAGTTGCGTTAGTACGAGAGAAAAGTCGATTAACCATATTTCCAAAATATGATGAAAATAAAAATAATCTAGAGAATGAGAATTCAAAATATAATGAAAATAAAAATATATATAATATAGGAAATGAGAAATCAAAATATAACGAAAATAAAACTATGATAATAATATAGAAAATGAAAATCCAAAATATAATGAAAATAAAAATATGATAATATAGAGAATGAAAATCCAAAATATAATGAAAATATAGTATATATAGTATGTACTATATTAAAATATGTAGTATATATAGTATAATAGTATAATATAGTATATTATATAGTACAGTTCTATACTATTACTATACTATATTATACTATGATACTATATATACTATATATTATGGTACAATAGTAGTATTATATATTATAGCATAATATAGAAAATGAAAATCCAAAATATAATGAAAATAAAAATATAATAATATAGAGAATAAAAACCCAAAATATAGTGAAAATATAATAAAAATATAGTATATATAGTATATACTGTATTAAAATATATAGTATATATAGTATAATATAGTATAATATAGTATATTATATAGTACAGTACTATACTATTACTATACTATATAATATACTATTATACTATATATACTATATATTATGGTACAGTATTAGTATTATATATTATAGTATAATATAGAAAATGAAAATCCAAAGTGTAATGAAAATAAAAATATAATAATATAGAGAATGAAAACCCAAAATATAGTGAAAATATAATAAAAATATAGTATATATAGTATATACTGTATTAAAATATATAGTATATATGGTATAATAGTATAATATAGTATTATACTATATATACTATATATTATAGTATAGTAGTAGTATTATATATTATAGTATAATATAGAAAATGAAACTCCAAAATATAATGAAAATAAAATAATGAAAAATTTTTAAAACACGTGTTTGCAAAAGTTATTTTTGCTTTAATCGTTATTTCTGTTTGTCATTCGGCCTTTCAGTGACCACCCTGCAGTATGTAATATATTAACGATGCAGCAACTGCACGTAAATGATTATTAATGCCGGCCAAAGGATGCTTCGATCGAGCAGATATCTACCAAGAGCCTCGGTGCGATTCGATACCGTTTCGCGAGTCTGTTGCCCCACCTTTGCATATTAACAGTTACCGGTAGAATGTAAAAGAACTTTGCGAAACGCGACCGCGTGCCTCGTCTGAAAATCCCACGTGAATCGCTCTGTTCTCAAGTTAACTTTACGACGCGTTCTTGCTTGCCACTGCTTCGCGATTTTCCTCGCTTTCCTCAAACTGATTTTCTCGTCTAATTCTTTACTTTACGTAAGCTTCTTTCTTCTTCTCCTTTTAACTTGTAACCGAGAACTCTTTAGCTCTTAATTAATTTAAGTGGCTACCACGGATGATCGTGGATAATTTTTATTTAAAATCTCCCGCAGAGATACTAATAAAATTCAAAGTCAAATTGACAATTGCGAAATTGTCGCAATGTAAAATCCAATTAGAGCTTAATTGGAAATCGTGACAGCATAAAGTTAAATTACTTACGATTAGTTTTAAAATGTTTCGTTTAATTGGATTTTCAGGAATTATGGAAATATGAAATGAAATTAATTTTTAATTTTAGTAGGAACGTAAGTTACTATAATTAATACTGTTCGAGGGTTAATAATAAAGGGTAAAAACATATGATCGATAATTGATATTGTTGGTGAAATTTTACAAATATTAATCAATTAACAAAGTCTAGAAAACAAATAAAATTTCGCGAATAATTCGCATTGATATTGCCATCAGCGTCGTAATAATATAAATTATTGCAGTTATCTGTAACTCAACGGTACTCTTTGAGAGTTAATATGTTTGATGTTAATTGACGATAAAACAGAATTTAACGGCTATTTTGTACAAATTAAAATTTAATTCGCATAATTCGTGTAATATAAGTACGAAGAAATCGATAGAATTGGAACATGTTTGTCAATAAATACACTCGCATCAATACGAACAGATAATTAACAATAAAACAGAATTTAATAATTATTTCATATAAATTAAGACTTCAAAGACCCAACACGTAACACGGGCAAGAAAATCGAAATGAAATTGAAACGCATTTGTCAACGAGTACGTACGTATTTATTTTAACGCGAACAATAATAATTAGAGACAGGACAAAATTTAATGATCATTTTACATAAATTGAAAAAGTTTCAGAGGTGCACGGTAGAAACGAAAACAAAACAGTCGATATTCGCCAACGTGAACGATAACAATTTAATGACTGTTTTCATACGTGTAAATTGAAACTTCAAAGATTCAAATACGCGGCAAGAGATCAATAAAATCGAAACTTGTTACTTTAAAGCAGAATTCAATGATCATTTTGTACAAATTGCAGCTAGAAAGGAACAGCAGCCGAATAAGAGAAAAGAAAATCGACGAAAATTGAAACACGTTCGCCAGAGGCGGGCACGCGCTTTTATCTCTGATTTATCTTTGATCACGGTGGACTTGTGTTCTGCTTGCGAGCCAGTCGCTAGTTACACAAGCCTGCTCTGTATCGCCGAAGAATTCCTCTTTACAAAAGGAAGCTTATTTTGTAATTGCATTCCTCGGAGACTCTTCTTCTCTACATTTCCTTCATCTTCGTTCAACGCACCCTTTCCCTTCCTATCGGATACCTTCCCCTTTCTCCTATTATTTCCTCTGTCCTTCGGTAAGATTCCCTCCAGCCATCCTAATCTACTGCTTGTTTCTTATTACTTTAGCCTCGTTCTCCTAGGCGTCCATTATTTTCATTTCCCGAGCCAGTTCTTTCGTTCCTCACGACAGCTTTGTCACTGTCCCATCCTTTCTTTTCCACCCCCTCTTTGCTTCTCTCCTTTATTCTTAACGTGTTATTTTATTATCTTTCTGTCTCTGAGCTAACGATGGGTTTAAGTCGAAAAACTCTCTGAGAGCTTGAAGCCAGGCCTCTTTTTTTCTCTCTCAGGGTGTCTTTGAACTTTTTCCTTTTTTTGAATTTAGAATAGGCTAGTATTTTTCTGGCTGAACCTGTTATTTTCGTTTCTCGAGCCAATTCTTTCATCGTTTTCCTCCGTGACATTCCGTATCTTGCTTTTTCTCATCTTTCCTTCATTTCCAACAGTTTAGACTCGCTGTTTCATTTTCTTTTTGTTTTAGCTAGTGATGGGTTTAAGTCTCTTTTGAGGAGCTTTTAATTTTTTGGGGGGAGTTTAGGACAAGTGAGAATTGCAATAGATGTTATATCTATTGTACTCTTCTTCTCTGTTGCAATACATGCATGTTATACTTACTACAATAATTATTATATTACTATAATATTCTATGCGTGTTATACTTACTATAATAATTATTATATTACTATAATATTCTAGCCTCTATTGCATGTTATACTCACTATAATAATTATTATATTACTAACGTTGCAAACACTAGTGCCATAAATTATTTATTCATCGTTAAGTATTTTCTTTCTTGGAGGTCTTTCTTAAATTTTCGTTAATCAATTTTAGAATAAGTCAGAATTGTAACAGATGTTATCGTCATAAATTTATTTAACTTTGCAAACACTAGTGCCATAAATTTATCTATCGTTGAGTGTTTCTTTCTTGAAGATCTTTGAATTTTCGTTTATTGAATTTGGAATGCGTTAGAATTTATTTTTATTATATTAGCTTTGCAAACACTAGTGCCATAAATTTATGCAAACACTATTGTCATAAATTTATCATCGAAAAATGGTAGCATGTGTCGTGCGTTTGTTTGTTTAACAACAAAATGACGTTAAAGTTAAAAATTGCTCGTCTGAATGAAGCTTCGATACAATAGTATCATTAAATATAGTGCAACATTATTAATGTAATTAATTACAATGGCACAGTGATAATAATAATACGATTACATTCTTTTGGCATGATTTTGGTACAATTATCGGTAATGAAATATAGACGCGATATTCGAAGCAGATGACTGTTGTTACTATACATTGCATTACTATTACCATTATTTAGTAAACAGACAAGTTCTATTAGTACACTAGAAACATAAATTGCGTTTAGTGGATTATTGCATGATGAAATGATTAATTTCGCAAACATTCGATGTGATACAGTTACTGTTAAATGGCATTTGTTAAACGTCAATTCGAGGCTTAAATTTAAAATAACGCAACGCGATCGATGATTTTATCAATTGTTTAATCGTAAAGAGGCAGACTTTTCAGATCAAAGCGAAAAACCATAAATAAACGAGCATTCGGTAGCCGAATTAATTAGCCCCCAGTTTACATAAAGTTCTCAATCTCTGTTATCCAGCCACGTAATTAAGAAAATTAAATTTCAATCTGAATATAAAACAAATAAATTTACTGGTCGTACACGAGATGTTGTAAATATTTGTTCGTGAATTGCAAGAACATGTCGGTAAAATTTCAAACGCGACACAACTACTTCATTGTTATGTTATTAACAGATTATGAATTTTTACAATAGAAAGGTGTACGTGAATTCCATGTCCATATTTCAGTTAAATTCTAATCGAGGCCCGATTAAATGAACTTTTATTGGCATGCAAACGGCATTAGTGAACTCCTATTGCATGAATTTTAATTATACAAGCTTTGTATATTTTTATATACTTTGTACATTGCAAATTTTTCTCAACATTTTTCTGAACGCAATCATAGAAAATTAAACTTGAATGGAAGATTATTTCATCCACTAAACATTATAGAGTATAGATATATTTCAGATATTATATTTTATGTATTGTAATATTGTAATAATATTATATAATAATATTTTTTATATATTATATAATATTGTATTTTATTATATATATTATACAATTATATATTTATTATATATTTAAAATATATTATATATTTTAGATATTATATTTATATTATATTTCATTGTGTATATTAATCATTATTCATTATTTCGTGTTTTGTATTATATTATACATATGCATTCATTATTATTTATTATTTTGTACATTACGTGTTACAAAATAATAAATAATAATGTTAATAAGTTTCTAAGCCTCGCATAAATAAGTGAACATCCGTAGTCTAATTATAAAATGGCCAATCTCTAATTGTTCGTTTTACAGAAACAGTGAAATTTGAAGCAACAGTGAAACAACAATTCACAATGAGAAAAGGTGTATTTCTAAAGATCTGAATTTTTCGAGGAAACACATAATAACAGAGGCTCGTGTACATATTCCACCGTATTTTACAGACTTTTCATCTCGACGAAAATTTTTCTCTGGTCCTGGCCTAATCCGAACGAACCATATCCAAATCGGCTTTCTCGTCGGTCCAGTAACTCACGCTCGAGAGCGCAACGATTTTAAAAACACCTTACGACGAAATGGCACACGCGAGAGAGAGTATGAGACGCGAGCCGCGTGCGTGTGCGTGCGTGTTCGCTTTATCGGTACCGATCGGGTTACCGATCTCTCTCTCGCGAGAGTCATCCACGCGATTCCCTCCGTTCCACCTCCATGAAGCCGAGCTCAGAGTGGCCGCGTGTATCCTCCGCGAGAGACGACGAAGGATCTCGTCGTTCTTCGCGCCTCCTCTCAGACATGTCGAATCAGCCGAGTTTCGCGGTCACTGAAAATCCCGATCTCGGCGAGCCGTTTGTACGCGAATTATTCGCGGATTTTCGCAAACTGTTTTCCGGACCTTTTTCGGCGCTTTTTGCCTCTGAACGACCATCTCGAAGGTTAAAACACTTAGTTTGAAGAGGGAAGAAGGAAACTGTGACGCGATTTGTTCTGCGAATTTTTCGGCGCGGTTCAGTGCATCGAATCTTCGACGGTTGTTTCGAAAAGAAAAAAAGAATGAAGAGACTCGCGTTGAGTCGAGAACTGTGAAAGAGGGAACTGTGACGTTTGTTGTTGTTGATGTTTGAACATTTCTCTGCAAAGTTCAGTGCCTCGAATCGTCGACGATTGTTTCGAAAAAAAAAAAAAAAAGGAAAGACTCGTACTGAGTCGTGACATTTGTTCATCCAGTCGATCAGCTTTCAGCGACCAACTTTCGCCGAGGTTTGTCCGAACGTTTCAGCGTGTTTGAATCACCGACGGTAATTTTGAAAAGCAAAGACTCGTTCCGTGGAGAAGGGGAAACGGAACTGCTTTTATGTTTATTTAGTCGGTCGAGCGACGAGTTTTCCGCAAAATTTGCCCGACTGTTTCAGCTGCTTTTGAAGCAGTCGACGGTAATTTTCGAAAAGCGAAGACTCGCCTTGGGAAGGGAAAACGGGACTGCGATGTTTGTTTATCTCGCAAATTCTTCTGCAAAGTTTCGGTGCTTTCGACTGAAAAGTTTCGTTTTGAAAAACAAGAGAAAAAAAAAAAGGAAGGAGAAGATTTGTCTTCGGAGAATACAGGGTGTCCATAAAGTCTCTTTGCAATTTCGAAAATTTATTACAAAGGCAAATGAAAAGACAGGTAAGTGGAAACTATTACAGAATGAGACTTATATATTTAAATTTTTTTTCTGCTTCATTTAATATACCTCTATATGGCACATCAAGACGGTACTCGATTTCTTACACGATCGATGTTTTCCTCGGATGTTCTTGATCGTCCACTCTTTCCTTTATCCAACACCGTCCCTGTCTCCAAAAATTTCTTGTGCCATGCACAAATTGATGGTCGTGACTGTGGATCCTTTCCATACTTAGTTCGGAAGTTTCGCTGAGTCTGCAGATCCGATTTGGTTTCAATAAACCACGATGCACACTGTGCCTTCTCTCGAGGAGTGGCCATTTTGTAAGGTGTTCGTTTAACAGTATCTTATTCATCAACAGGGTACCTGAAATGCAACGTGATAAAAACCTTGATAACCACTGAGTATATAAAACAAATCTGACAAAGATATCTCGTCAATTGCCTTTGTAATAAATTTGTGAAATTGCAAAGAGACTTTATGGACATCCACATGCAATTATGTTAAAGATACGGGACATCACTAATCTAAAGCAGAGGATCACTGATGCCATTGCCATCATTGATGAGGATACGCTACAGCGAACATGGCAAGAAATCGAGTATCCTCTTGATTTGCCATATAGAGGTGTATTAAATGATTCAGAGAAACAAAACTTGAATATATACATCTCATTTTATAATAACTTCTACTTATCTGTCTTTTCATTCGCCTTTGTAATAAATTTTCGAAATTGTAAAGAGACTTTATGGACACCCACTATTTAGCGAATAATGTTTTGATTAAAAAAAGACGGTTGTATCTCGTTCAGTGACGAACAACCGCGTTTAAATCGATTATAATCGCAATATCGTCACGCGGATTGATCAGAGGATTGTCATAGAGAGTACATATATTTCGCACGCGTCGTCGCGCCTCGATAGCATATTGTATTTGTCGGTACAATTAGTCGATAAATTGAATTTAATACGACGTTACGACCGATCCCGTGGAAATCCTATCGCGAGCTGTTGACACGCTTCTGTTTCGTGACTAACGAGCACAGCCGGCTCTCGTTTCACTCTGTTCCTCCAACGATTTCTCTCTTCTCTCCGAAAGGATTTTAATTTACGTTTGTTCGTGATACCGACCCTCCTCTACTCCTTTTCTTTTATTTTCGTGCCGAAACAATTTTCTTCGACGAAAGGTAAAGAAAGAGTTTCAGCTAACCGGTTACCGTTTCCTTTAATTAAAACATTCGCCGGTTCGAAACTGGAGTTTCGTCGTCCTCTCTGTAACAATTCTTGTTCACGCTTGTAACAAAGTGTTTTAATTTTTCTTAAATTTCAATTAGTCTGGATTAGTATATGTAGTACGGGTTTCTTGGAACCCTTGTCGCGTTTTAATGTACCATCGATTCGGGGAATTCGAAAAAGAAACATATATCTAATTAGGAAAAAATATATCTAATAATAATATATAATAATATATATAATTAGGAAAAAAAAATTATACAAACATTATATAGAATTTATCACTGTGCAAAATTCGTTATACTTTGTTATTAAAATATTCATTCTGGATTTTATTTTTAATTTAATTGTATTAAATATTAACTCAAAAATAATTTTAGCTCTTTTTCTAATTTTATTTTTTATAATTGATACGTACAAAGTCATTGTTTCTTTATTTAATAAAATTTTTAAATAAAATATGAAATCATTTATGAGAAAAGTTTTTGTGAAATTACATTTTCCTGATGTTACAATTTTATTCTCAATGTTGAATTAATAAAAAATTTCATTATATTTATTTAATCAGTTTAATATATCTTATATTTGATATTAATTTTTTATATTATAATTCGTATCGATTCTTCGTTTCACAAACTTTTCGAACTTCCCCAGTGACACGTGTCGCGTCTGTGTCACTCTTCCCCTCGAAACTCCGTATTTTTGTTCGCAAACACGTTGACAAAGCGTGTTGAACAACACAACATTTCCGTACAACAGATCCTTCTTATTGGACACCTCCGTACTGACAAAGTTTGACAGCTTAAACGCGAGACAACCTGCCTCGAGTACTTTAGTTTCTCTCGAACGTGTGTAAAATATTTCGCGAAATATCGCCGGCGTGTGGAAGATCGTCGATCGAAGCGAGCGCGAAACGTTTCCTCGAAAGAGAGAGAGAGAGAGAGAAAGAGAAAGAGAGAGAAAACGGCTCACACCGAAATTATTCGGTTCGCAGGTCCACGTCCGCCAAGGTAGAAGTAGGTTGGCCAACCCCGAGGCTGTAGGCCAGCTACGAGTTTCGTCCAGGGAACGCCGATCGTTAGAGAAAATCGTCGTGTCGAACGAGTGAGAGAGATCGATGAGAGATGACTCGTCCGTTCGTTTCTCAATAAACAACAGTCACTCTCTGAACGAATGGAACGAATCTATCGCGAAAGTAACGGCCGCAGGCACAGGAAATCGCGAGGTGGGAGCGCGTGAAACAGAAAGGTACGATCGGAGAGAAGAATCAGAGAGAAAACGGAAATTCTTTCGACTCGAGTGGAGCGTGCGTTGAGAAAGTGTCCTGAAAGGAGACGGTAGGTGAAAGAAAATTGATGGGAGAAGATGAATGATTCGCTCCAACTTGTGTGTAAGGTGCAAACAGAAGAAAGATAAGAAGAAACGAGAGAAGAGACAGAGAAGTGGAGTAGAAGAATGAGTAGAAGAACCATGCCGTCGGTTGGCCTAAATTCCTGCGAAAGAATACGACCGGAAAGACCTAGGAATCCTATCCAGAAGCTCGTATGGAGTCCTGGCTCTCAGTTTCAAGTTGGACAAGTCGGCTTGCTCGAGGACGAGGGCTCGAATCCGCGAATGGCTCTGAGAAGGTATAGATCTATTGTTAATCTACGCGTGTACGCATCTACGTACGTACATACATAAATGTTCCCGAGTATTTCCAAAATCTTGTCTGGACATCTATTCTTCTCGTTTGATACAAACGTTCGCCTTCGTTAAACATCTGGATAAAATTAAATATTCAGATTGGAATTGGTTAATTAAATGTAGGCTATGGATAAAAAAGTGGGTAGCATAAAGCTGGTCGATTAAATATTTACTTGATTTACTTGATCTACTTGATCTACTTGATCTACTTGATCTACTTGATCTACTTGATCTACTTGATCTACTTGATCTACTTGATCTACTTGATCTACTTGATTTGATTTACTTGATTCACTTGATTTACTTAACCCCTTGCGCTGGCAACTGGTTCGCGCGGACCATAACGAGTGACCGTTTTGTCGCTTTCTTTCTCTTTTCAATTCGTCGGTATGTTATCACTATGATGGGAATTATTAAGAAGTAATGAACTTGCCATTTGTTTTGCCTGAGTTACATTTAAGTATACTTAAAACTGAGAAAATGTTGCAATTTTTGGGACAAAAAGTTCTCGACGTGACATTCCAGCGCAAGTGATTAAGACAACACTAGCAAAGTAATCTAAATAAATCGTGCTGAAATCAAATATTTCGAAACTCAATGGATTTGGTAATCAAAGTAGATTGTTTTGGTAATCTTGATAATATTTAATTTTAGCTTCACTCTGTAAGTTTAAATCTCTCTGCTTCTTGCGCATTCCTTTCGCGTATTTCCAAAGGTATTTCAAAAATCGAGTTTATTTCCGCGAGGCTGAATAAATTATTTCCGGAACGCGAAGAAGAACAAACGAGCAAGTGCAAACAACGATAGCCTTAACCCTGTTTTCGAGGCGCGCGCGATCCGCCTCGTGTAATAATTCGCCTATCCGGGGAATTCGTTTCGCGGTCGAAAATGGATTATCGCCGCGTGCCAGAGTCCGCTACGATTACACGACAATATTGATCGGCCGGACAAACAGAACGGGTTTATTGCGTCCCTGCGGTGCGTCCGATAGAATATACAGAGAGGCGCGATACACAGAGGTCATCGATTACGGCAAGACGGTAGAGATATTCGCGAGCCTGTCGCGGAAATTTCAATGAAATACCAGCGTGCCAACGCGACCTATTATCTCGACAATGCACACACACACGCGCGCGCACATACATGCACATACATATGTTGTACGTTAAAGCTGTTTCACCTCGCGTTGTCCTTCAAATTCGCGACACGGTCAGTAGCAAGCTCGAGTAACAAGCGTTGAATTTGAAATCAATCGTGGAACGTGGATGCAGGCTGCTTAGACTGTACGAGGGAAGACAATACAGAGAGGCGGCTGCTTTCCTCGTCAAGCTGCCGCGCTACACCTTGAAGGCGACCCTGCCGGACATTCCGCTGGACCTGTTGATCGAAACGCTTCCGCACAGTCTGTCGCTGCTCGAGGCGCTCTACACCCGGCTGCTCGAGCTGAATGTAAACGACGCGAAGGTACTAAGGATGGAGCACGTCCTCTGGAAGGTCGTCCACCTGATCTCGATCAGCCAAGACCACTTCCGCCTGAGGATCTGGTGCAAGCTGCTGGCCTCGCTGGACAAGCTGGCGCCGAACGCGAGGGGCATGCTGGCCGCGAGGAAACGAGCCTTGGAGAGAGCCGTGGAGGGTTTGGGCAAACACGGGCTGGTCGCCAGCAATATGGAGAACGGCGGGGCGTCGAATTTGCTGCCTCTGCCGGTCGCGCTGCGGGAACAGCTGGAGAACAGAATCGAGGCGTACAAGCTGGCCGTGCACAAGATCGAGAGCTTCGGGAAACACGCGAGGACTCACAGAGGTAATCTTTCCACGAGAGGTTTCTTTTTTCTTTTTTCTTTTTTTTTTTTTTTTTTTACACCCGACTATAGTTCGAAATATATCACCACTATGGTCACAATTGGTGTTCCATGTTGTTGAAAACTTTTTTAGTGTACGATAGTGTAATTTATCTTGTTTTAATTTAGTATTATATTATATTATATTTTATATTATAATATATATAATATAATATAATTTTAATATTATAATATATATAATATAATATAATTTTCATATTATAATATATATAATATAGTATAATTTTATATTTTATATTATATTATATTATAATAATATATTTTAATTTATATTATATTAGAAATTTACATTTTTTAATTTAATATGAGTTTTTTAATGTTTAATTTCAGTTTTTCGATCTTTGAATTTCATGATACTAGAAAGTATCGTCAGTCAACATGTTGACCGATGATAATTCTTTTTATTGTAACGCTGCGTTCGTTTCTGAATACTGAAGGAATTATTATAATATAATATAATATTATATATTATATAATATATTTTATATTATATTATATTATAATATATTTTAATTTATATTATATTATATTATATTATATTAGAAATTCACATTTTTTAATTTAATATGGGTTTTTTAATGTTTAATTTCAGTTTTTCGATCTTTGAATTTCATGATACTAGAAAGTATCGTCAGTCAACGTGTTGACCGACGATAATTCTTTTTATTCTAACGTTTCTGAATACTGAAGGAACAATGGATCAATAGAGAATCTGTAAGATGTTAATAACGTGTGATATTAACACGATTATATTATTATATTAATATACAGTACTTGATATTATTATATTATTATATTAATATATAGTACTTGATATTAACGTGATTATTATTATTATATATTATTATACGACTATATGTCAATTGTGTTGATTATACAATTATATTATTGATATATTCACATGATGAATCGTATGACCGTATGATTATATTATCAACACAATTATATTATATTAATATATAATACCTGATATAATACCTGATATTATACTAATATATAATACTTGACATAATACTTGATATTATATTAATATATAATACTTGATATAATACTTGATATTATATTAATATATAATACTTGATACTGACGCTAAAATAATACTAAAAAAAAAAAAAAAAAAACTGCATTACAAAGTGCACGCGCGGATTCGGAAATCTCGCCATCTGCGGGAAATACTAGACGCCGCAAAGTAAAAGCAAAACGTGTCCCGAGCGCATGTACACGTATCCGCGTGTGAATACACGGATCACCGGGGCGGAGAAAGTCTGAAAGTTTGCACGACTGAATGGAACACGATCCCGCCGCGTTCCAGATCCGATTACCGTCACCCAGCATCTGACACCGCGCGAGTATCCTGCCACCGATCGGAGGAATTCGTCGCGGAGCCGCGAGAAAATAGTTTCGATTCGATTTCTCCATCGGTGGATGGAGTCGGTCGCAACGAGAAACGATTACACCGTCCTCCACGGTGTGAGGGAAGAATGTGGAACGCGAGCATGCGTCGAATGTTGCGTCGAACGCGCGTCAATTTCTGTCGTTAAATGTTGCAACCGATGAGAAGATGAGAGGAGAGGAGACGTGAACGCGTGAGAAACGGACGTCCGGGCCGTGTTCGAGCCTCCGTTGAACCGTGAAGTATTGGGTTTTAACGCGGCTGCACCGGACGCGTTACATCCCCGAATGCAAATACGTATGTACGCCGATGCGCTGGACATTAATGCGCTTACACGCGAGCGTTACGCGTTTATTAGTCCGCGTCATTGTCATCGGCGCGGGCGATAAACACGGTGGAACACGTACTCGCGTGTCTGCCTCTTTAGAGCAGCTCGGTAGTGTATTTCGTCCTGAATCCATTTCAGGATTTGTCATAATTCCATCGAGGATTCGATATTCTCATAATTACGAGTACGTTCGAAATTCAATTTGACTACAATTTGGCTTGGAAAGTAGCTGACTTAGTCTTTGCCAATGGGATATTCAATGGGTCTGATCTCGCGTATATATCACTGAAATGTTTAAACTCAATGTTCCTTCGAGTCACTACGTTATTCTGAATTGTTTCACATTGAACACCATCGAATATATTATGGCTTCTATGACCCGTACAATCGTATATTTATTAATAATGCACGTTGTTTGATCGAGATGTTTTTGACCATTCATTTAAACGCTCATTACTTTCACTCGGTCTCATACCTCGTTTAAATTTAAAATTTTTATAATTGTATCACTTTTCTACTAATGGGTATATATTTTTTTACTCGTGAAAATGAATTAATAAGTAAACAAATGAATAAATAATTAGAGAAATTTACAGGTGCACGAAAGAAGAAGTATTGGCACGCCTAGTTTTGATATCTTCAATGCTGCGCTGGCAACTGATTTGCGGACCATAACGAGTGACCGAACCATATACAATTAAATCGTCGCTTCCTTTTTCTCCTTTTCAACTCGTCGGTATGATATCACTGGATAGAAATTATTAAGAAATATTAAACTTATCATTCGTTTTGGGTATATTTAAGTATATTTAAAACTGAGGAAATATTGCAATTGGGTATATTTAAGTATATTTAAAACTGAGAAAATGGCACATTTAAGTATATTTAAAACTGAGAAAATGTTGCAATTTAGGACAAAAAGTTCTCGACGTGCGTGACAGGTTTTAAAATAAACAGCTTGTAATAACAATTACATTTGCGTGTGCGAACAAAATTCATCGAAATTTAGACATTTTTCTAAAAAACAGAAAGCCTTTAATAAACCTGACCTACCTAATGGTAAAAATTAAAACGGTGTAATATAGTAAATACTTCATTTCTATTTCACAAAGATTTCGCTTGCTGCCTGCGTTAATAATAAAAAAATAGAATTTGACAATACAGATTGATCACAATGGTCTTGACGAGTCAAGTTAATTTTTGAGTCTTCAGTTCGTTCGCGAGTAGAATCAAAATCTATACAAACTTTAAGTCTATTTTGTCATATTCATTTCGACGTGGATTACATTCACGTGACACGACGATTAAATTTCACATAATGTCGTAACGTCAAATTAAATTTCGATAATTTCACGAGGCTTTGATATTTCTAATGATTGCAACATATTTTAATGATCGATGATTAATTATTAAAATTTAATGAGCAGGCATGGAAATTTAGTGAGCATCCGACACGGAAATTCGACCGTCAAAGAAATGACATTTCATCTCTGCGCCGACATAAATGCATAAACGAGTGTTGACTGATCTTGATTAATTGGACACGTTTACAGCTGATGAATCACAGTGCAAAGAACATTACGTTCGAAAAATCTCTGTCGACGCGAAATCGACGGAAAAATTGGATTTATCACCCGTTTTAATTTCGCTGTATTGTAATTTCGTATTTCAACGAAGCGATCAGTCCTTTTTATTAGTTCGTCACGCGTATTGACAAATAGATTTAATACACTCCCCCGTTTTTTTTTTTTTTTTTTAAATCATTCACGCATAAAAGTCTGATAGCCTGAAATTGAAACCGATATCGAAGACCCCCAGTGTACTTGTTTCCCTTTCTAGGCCGTATTTTTGTCTTAACTTCTCGACGAGGCTTTAAATAACCTATATTCTCTGCTTGATTATGGTTTATGGGGTACACTGACTAAAGTTAGGTGGATAAACGTGAAAAATCCTACGTATAAAATAGGAGCTATCGGATTACTGTCGCGCGCGTGTAACATGTCCAATATGAGCCAATCGACACTGGCTCGCCCGAATCGAGTTAATTGCCAGATAATTACCGTAATAATTACGCTAGAAATTTATTGAAATCGGTGATTAATTTGCTCGTCGTATCACAGGCCAATTTGATGTTCGCGGCTCGTGTGTGCGCAGGTAATTACAAGCTTTGCGCCCACTCCGCGTGTGTTGTTCCTCAGCTACGTGCGCGTTTGCGCGTTTTATGAAAGTACAAGCGTATAAAAATTTACAAAATATAGTATAATACACCAAAGTATTTATTACAATAACCGACTGTGTTTGTTCTTTGGTTTTAAATTGACGTAGTGGCAGGAAGAAAAGGAAGATATACAGGGTGAATGGAAAAAGGAGTTCGTAACCTCTAGGATAGATAGTACTCGTGGAAATATGGAAAAAAGTTTTAATAAACGTGGGTTCTAATATACAGTTGACAGAAAAAGAATCGTACGACAAGTTAAAAGGGGTGGTTTTAGAAAGAAAACTTCGATCTTCCAGTCATGAAGAAAATTTTTCAATGCTTCTAGAGATCATTTAAATTATTCGTTATTCAAATTTTTACAATTTTCTTCGAGGATATTGTTACTTTATCACCATAGCTACGACCTAAAAATATAATTGACAAAAATAAAATCAGGACTGTAGAGGTTTTATGATTTAAAACGAGACGCAAGTCGATTATTATATGATCTCTTTTCACAAAGTTACATTTTAAAATATGGACATTTCTTTCATCATCAGTGATACAATTGTGTTCTTCGTATTTCATGTCAAATTGACACAAAGAACAGATTAAGCAAATTTTCATTTAACTTCTTGCCACGTACCAAAATTGCAATATTTTCTCAGTTTTAAGTAGATTTAAATATAACCAAAGCAAAACAAGTAATAAATTCATTACTTCTGAATAATTTCTATCCAGTGA